CACACACACACACACACACACACCCCAACACTTTTTGACAGGTTGTGTGTGCTCAGTATTATTGTAGTTTTTATTTTTATTCTTCATTGGCACTATTTCCCTTGTGATATATGTCTTTCTTAGTAAGTCCCTATTTAATTTCTACATTTTGTTTCCTTTTGTTCTCTGCTTTTGCTTTCTTTACTTCTTACACCCACTCTCACCCCTTTTGCTCCACCTTCCCTCTCTCCAGTTCTTCCCTCACTGTCTCTCCTCCAGAAGACTCCCTCCTCTCCAGTCAGCTGCCACGCTACAGGTTTCTACCCTGACAGGGCTGCGATTTTCTGGAGGAAAGATGGAGGGGAGATTCATGAAGGTGTGGATCATGGAGAGATCCTCCCCAACAATGATGAGACCTTCCAGATGAGTGTTGATCTCAATATTTTATCAGTCACACCTGAAGACTGGAGGAGATATGACTGTGTGTTTCAGCTCTCTGGTGTGAGCGACATCATCACCAAACTGAATAAAGCAATTATCAAAACGAACTTGGTGAACAACAAAACACATATTGATGCAGGTGAGAGATAAAAAATTTGATTAGTCTTGTTCAATTATACAAATTTGTCTATCTATCTATTAGGGGTGCAACAATACTCGTATCAATATTGAACCGTTCGATACAGTGCTTTTGGTTCGGTACGCATATGTATCGAACAATACAATTTTTTTTATTTATTTTATCAACTTTCCTTCTGACGATGCTGTCTGTGTTGAGAGCTCAGTGGATCTGCGTTCGACTACTCCGCCTAGGCTGCACTGTCGAGTGCAGATCCACTGAGCGCAGCGCAAGCTAGCAAGACAGACACTAAGCTCGTTGCAACATGGCAAATTGAACCTCCCCCACCCTCATTCAGATCAGGCGTTTGGAACTATTTTGGTCTTCATGTGACGTATGACCCTGATGGTAAGCGCGTCATGGACAAAAGTAAAACAGTATGTCGGATGTGCCACGCAATGCTCAATTGGTGGGAACTAGTGCGTTAGCGCAGTTAGCTCGTTAACGTGTTGACGCCGTCCAGCCCCACGCATGGGGCGATCCGCGGTAACTTGTAAACGGAGATTTGCCGCATTATGGCGTTAATGTCATTTTAACGAGATTTACGCCGACATCATCCTAGTGCAAAGACAAGTGGAAGCAGACAAAAACAACAAGCACGCATGCTACAAACTTTACCCGAGTCTTTTAGACAGCCGTTAGCACATGATTCTCCTTATGGGGACCTGATGTGTTTAATATGCTGCTGAGAATATAGCCCAGAAGAAGCGTTATAGTATAGCTTTTATTTTGGAAAGAGACATTTCTCTGTAATAAACTCTCTTTTCCAAAGATGAGTGATTCAGATAGATTTATTTATTATTTTATTATTTTGTTGTTTCAGCAACATTAAATTTAAAAACTGTACTTTTGAGTTAAAATATATATTTATAATTTTAATAAATGACAAATTAAAAAGGCATGAACATTTTTTTGTATCGAAAAAATATCGAACCGGGACACCAAAGTATCGAACCGAACGGTGAATTTTGTGTATTGTTGCACCCCTACTATCTATCTATGCATATATGTATATATACATATACACATACACGCACAATATGTTCACAATCAATATGTAATTATTAATATGGAATGAATGTATTTCTATTCTAACTTGCTTCATCTGCCACTTTTATCGTTTTTTGTTTTTTTTTAAATTGTGCAGAGTTGCCCATCATTATTGCAGCCTTTGTTCTTGTTTTGATCATCATTGTTGCCATTGGAATTGTTGCTTACAAAAAAAAGAAAGGTAAGAAATTGAAATGAGCAGACTTTCCCAGTCAAATGATAGCAGCAGCGCAATACTCAGTTACATTATTTTTGCAGTAGTATCAGACATGTGTGATAAAACTGAGAAATACACAAATAAAGTTTAATTGTCAGATTTTTTAAAAAGTGGCAAAAACTGAAATGATGTTTTTCCCTTTTAATTCAGAAAGCCATCCAGCACCTTGTAAGTACAATGTTATTTTTCTCTGATCTGCCATGCATTCTGGGGTTTAAATAAATTATTTTACTAATACTGTTCCTTTTATTATTAAATATTTAAACTGAACAGCTGCTAGCATCATCATAGAATTGGATGGGAGATCTGGTACAGAATCACCGGACTCTGCACAGAGATTTGCCACAGAATCACCAGACTCTGCACAGAGATTTGCCACAGAATCACCAGACTCTGCACAGAGATTTGCCACAGAATCACCGGACTCTGCACAGAGATTTGCCACAGAATCACCGGACTCTGCACAGAGATTTGCCACAGAATCACCGGACTCTGCACAGAGATTGGCTACAGAATCACCGGACTCTGCACAGAAATTGGCTACAGAATCACCGGACTCTGCACAGAGATCTGGTACAGAATCACCGGACTCTGCACAGTCTTAACATCTCCAGTTACACAAGAACAAGATGATTTTCATATTTACTTTAAGATTTGTTATACTTTAAAAAATATTACATACCTTTATTGTTTTACAATTAAAGTGAACATAAAATACCACATTTATAAAAGCTAACTTCCACCGTTGAGCCCTAATCTTAAAAAAGTCTAGATATAGATATAACATTGTCTGAAGCTATATTTAAGAAATAAGTGTTGATATAAGCATTAATTTCAAGATTTTAGATTATATTTAATGCCAGAATGTGATATCACTAGGTTGGCTGGTTGCTGCTAATAGACTAGCACTTTATACAAGTTGCCCTATTCACTCATTCATTCATATGCTTTTTCAACATAAGTGCTTTACATCTAACATTCACACACATTCACACTCTGATCCTTGGCTCCTCCAGTCTCCTCCAGCCAAATATCCTTGGGTAAGATACTAAACCAAATTTGCTTTGTGGTGCATCCATCAAGCTACCAACCTTATGATTAGTAGATGACCCAATCCACCTCATGAACTATAACCAGTAAGCAAGGTGTTTTTCCTTGTAAGCCAGCTGATCTGAGTTAATAATGAAGACCATGGCTGTGTCCCAATTCAGGATCTGCACGCTTGAAGTACACGCACTAAGAAATGAAGGAGAAAAAATGTTTTGTTGGTCATTCATTTTTGTCATGACATCACTTTGATTAGTT